AGTTATGTGGTTATTTTTGTTAATGTGTTTATGTGTTCTGTTGATGTGCTTATGTGTATAGAATAAAAATTCAAAATAAATATTTTTATGCTCATGTTTAACCAGAATAAAATGTTTTTGTTGTTATCTTGATTGTTTAATTTCTATATTTTATATATTTTTGTTTATTTTATCTTAGAGTAAAAGTTTACTTTATTATACATTTGTGCCTGTATTCAAGAAAGCTGGAAGGCAACTCTTTTTTCTTGTTATTTTTCTGACATTTTTCTCCCTTTTGATTCCCCTTCAAATTTTCTCCCTATTGTTATTTTGTGTTTTATAACATTTTGAAATTTCATAAAGTCAATTAAAATATTAACACAATGTACATATACACACTATACAAATAAAATTAGCCTCGAATAGGCTGGTTGTGTTGTGTTCTATTTGTCAAAGGCAGATAAAAATGGTTAGGTTAATGTTAAAAAGATAAATTATTTTACAACTCTTCTTATATTCCCTTTCTAATAAATTGAATAATTATATTGATAAAGGGTGCTCTATTACTTGGAGGCATACAATAATGAATCTAGGAATAACAGACTAACAAAATAAGAGAGTTGGAAGTGACTTTGGAGGTCTTCTAGTCCACCCCCTGCTCATACAAGAAGACTTACTGTATACCTGGTTGTCCAATCTCTTCTTTAAAACTTCCAGTATTGGAGTATTTGCAAGTTGTTCCACTGATTAATTGGATCTGTCAGGAAATTTCTTATTAGTTCTAGGCTGCTTCTCTCCTTGATTAGTTTCCATCCATTGCTTCTTGTCCTCCCTTCAGGTGGTTTGGAGAATAGCTTGACTCCCTCTTCTTTGGGGCAATGAACACTGCTATCATTTCAACCCTAGTTCTTCTCTTCATTGGATATACCCAATTCCAGCGACCATTCTTCATATGTTTTAGCCTCCAGTCCCCTAATCATCGTTGTTGCTCTTCTCTGCACTCTTTCTAGAGTCTCAACATTTTTTACATCATGGCAACCAAAACTGGATGCAATATTCTAAGTCTGGTTTTACCAAGGCATTATAAAGTGTATTAAGACCATGTGATTTTGATTATATCCCTCTGTTAATGCAGCCTAGAACTCTGTTGGTTTTTTTGGCAGCTGCAGCACACTTCTGGCTCATATTTAAGTGATTTTCCAGACTCCAAGATCCCTCTCACAATTACTACTATTGAGCCAGGTACTACCCTATACCTGGGCATTTGGAAGGCATATACAGGTGAAACTCGAAAAATTAGAATATCGTGCAAAAGTTCATTTATTTCAGTAATGCAACTTAAAAGGTGAAACTAATATATAAGATAGACCTCAACTTTTTCGCTTTTTAAGACTTATACATTGTGAATAAAATAATATGCCAGAAAAACATAT